CACTTGAAACTCTCCTATTCTTTTACCTATCTATTCCTCTCCTCTCAACTCCTTCTTATCTGATGGGTAAAGTTGCTATACTGAAGAGTATATTCACTATAAGTACATTTTGGGATGGTCCTTATTTTTTACTTAATTCACATGGTTAAAGGTGATAGATTAATAACTACCTCAAATTGTCACTTTCTAAGCTGTGCTTGATACTGTTGTGTTGCTGATTATATCAATTAGACTAAAGGGTTGTGATTGATTTAATGAGTTGTCCTTCCTGATATTATGAAAATGAGAGTGTCTCTGAGTTATTAGAGATTCAAAACCTAAAGAGCAGCTATATCAGGAAGATCAAAGTACTATCCCATGAATTAAAACAAGAAGTACCACCAACAAAAACAAAAATGAGAAAACACTTAAGCAAGGCACAAATACAGACTTCCAATGGCAAATTCTAGGGAAATGAGGTGGAAAAGTCTTACAATCAACCACCGGGACACCCTGAACTCATAGCACATGAAGTAATAAAACAGATCAATCAAGCTCTAGAAAAATTCAAAACAGAAACAATTTCCCAGATAACTATAAAGATGGTAAGCACAATGAAAAACATGATTAGAGACTCTAGAGCAGAAACAAACAAACCAACAAAAAAATAGATGAGTTCAGGTCCATGATAGAAGCCACAAATGCCCAACATAGGAAAGAAATGGAATCCATGAAACAGATCCAGATATGCAGATTAAAAACTTTGTAGAAAGTATTCAAAGCAGAATGAATGAATGTGAAGATAGAATTTCAGATATAGAAGATAGGATTGTAATCAGGGACCACAAAAAGAGAGATCTCTTAAAAACAGTAAGGGATCATGAGAAATAAATCCAACAACTCCCAGATGATGCAAAGAAGAATAATATAAGACTGATAGGAATCCATGAAGTAGAAGGAGAAAGAACAAATGACTTAAAAAAACTGTTCACAGAATTAATAACAGAAAACTTCCCAGAGGGGAAGAATTTGACATACAGATAAGTGAGGCATATAGGACTCCAACCAGCCATGATTAAAAAAAAAAATCTACACATAGACATATAATAGTCAGGAGCCTGGAAACCCAACAGAAAAACAAAATACTGCAAGCAGTTAGGGAAAAGAAACAAATCACATGTAAAGGAAAGCCCATCAGAATCATAGTAGACTTTTCAACACAAACCCTCAGGTCAAGGAGAGCCTGGAGTGAGGTATTTCAAACCCTAAAAGAAAAAACAACTTCCAACCTATCCTGCAAAACTCTGTTTTAAAATGGATGGGGAAACAAGATACTTCCATGACAAGGAACACCTGAGAATACCATGAATACCAAACCAGCACTCCAAACAATTTTAAATAATACCCTAGAAAAACACAATGAAGATCACAACACCATGAGGCTCAACAGAGCAAATCAACTTGGCAAGGCAAGAAACTAAAGGAAGAGGTGGAAAAATTAAAAAGAGCCAACAACAGGACAATAACATGTCAATGATAAGTCAATACATATCAGTTATAACTATCAATGTTAATGC